AGGTGCTTTGACATAGAAACCATCGTTACGTTCTCAAGCTGTGTTTGTGCGTGTTGATGATGGTGTGGCCATTGCTGGTTTGCTGACTGATGAGGACATATTATCGGAAGTGCTTGAAGCGGATGCGAATCACTCGCTGCATTCATTTTTCTTGGGGACCAACCGGAAGCTCCACCCACTGGTCCGGGACCACTTGTACGCATGTTCATTTTACACGTGCCTGGCGGCCTGGGACTGGTTGAACAATTTTTTTCGAGCAGCTGCAAACGACAGCGCATTGCCCATGCCTGTGCGGTTAGACACAGGAAATTTTTAACGTGCTCTTGCTCTATCTTTGCTTTTTTTGCCTGCTCTTTGCATGTTTCTAGATTTCGCATTGTTTGAGCACTCAGTTCTTGTCATCGGTGTCCTGAGCTATGTCGAGCATGTGCGTATTCCTGATGGTAGGGCAAACATGCATTACCGTATTTACTCGCATAATCCTCGCAATCGCATAACTCTCCCACCCCCCACATCGCCCATCAAAAATACAATTTTTTTTTCCCTAGAGTAATTATAGCACCACCAAAAACTGCCACAATCATGTCGTCTGCTCGTTCCAACCACTGATGATGATAGCGCACGCCATCTGGCGCCACCTCTTAAGCATCAAGCATACTATTATTGCACGGATATTCAATCCAATCCAAGCCAAGCCAAAGTGGCTAGTGTGCGTTGCAGCGTGTTTTGTATGTTGTGTCGGTAATCTTGTCACGTTATGGAGCGATACTGAAGCTACCAGGCTGCTTTCAAGTTGAAAGTTATAGATCACGATGTAAGCAACGGCAACAGGGCTGCCAGTAGGCCTTTCGGAGCATACGTGTTTTGTGTTCGCTACTGGTGACGGCAGCTGAAAGCCACCAAGAGGCGTTGTGCCTGCCGTGTGCCTAAAACTGGGGTTGATGATAAACTACTTTTCAGAAGGAAACTGCGGATGATTCTGTTAAACAGTTATCAGCCCAATACTTACGTCCTAGGCTTACCTTTTGAGGGCTCCTGTCAAGCAACGAACGCTACTGCCACGCCCACAAGCTTTGCGTGTGGTACAGTGGAACTTCGATTATACGTCCCCCAGTCCTACGACGACACGCGTTTTACGACGAATTGGCTTGGTCCCGGCAAAACCCCCAAAGAACTAATGTACTGAAAACCTCAATTCTACGACGCAATTTTACGCTGGCCCCGCCTCGTACGACGCTTAGCTGGACTGTCCGAGATAAAAAAAAAACCTACGATGACGCACGCAGGCTGCCACGCAAGCACACTGCGGCCGGATGAAAAAAAGTCGGGAAACCGAGGAACTGAGTTCGTTCCTCCGCACGTTCTAGCACACTATCCGCTCTGCCACCGCTGCCACCACAGGGCCTCTTCAATTTTTCGACACGCTGTCGGCTATAGCTAGCCAGAGCCAACGTTCTTCAGAGCCAGCCGGAGCGCATTCGTTTTGCTAAGTCGCATTGCACTGCGCACTTCCGTAGGGGCCTTTTTTGTTTTGTTTTCTGCCTTCTTTTGCGTGGTTTTGTAGTGAGAGCTGTGAGCAGGTAACATGGCAGATAATTTCGAGCTCGCTTTTTAGTATGCGATAACTTTCACTAGATTTCGCATCGTCGTACTGGACGTGTTGAACGGCGATTGTTGAGCCTGTCTACGTTTGGGACAGCCGCGAGAACCAGAACTAGCTGCAGTCTAGCTACCAGAGGGCTGGGGAGTTTTAGCGCCTCGCGATTGGTCGAAGCTTGTGCAGACGTAAGCGCTTGCAAAAATCGAATGGGCCCACTGCCTTGTTGCCTTTCAGCCATTCCTTCACGTGTTTGCCTCATCGGTAGGTTGTGCGCCGCAGCTGCTGCGTCTACGTGCAAAATTTTCAGTATTCGGACATTGGTGTGCGAGGGAGCTTTCGAATACTTGGTTACGAGTGCTGCGTCTCGCAACGTCACGGATCCGAAAACCGCTGACGCTTGGAGAAAAGCTTCGCATAATCGAGGAGGTGGAGAAGCGGAGCGCAGCAACAAAGGCCAGCATTGCCCACGACCTGAATATTCCCAAGTCGTCGCTGAAAACGATCCTCGCAAAGAAGGACAGCATTCTACTAAATGCGGCAAAGTTCGGTCTGAACAGGAAGGCCGTGAAAGATGGCAAATATGCTGCCATGGAGACGGCCCTCGTTGAGCGGATGCGTCAGGCCCGCAGTTCAGGAATTGCCGTGGATGGTGCAATTTTGAAGGAGAAGGCGGAGACAGTTGCATTGCGCTGCGGCATTGATGACTTTAAAGCCTCCAATGGCTGGTTGGATCGCTGTAAAAACGCAGTGGAGTTGTGTACAGCCGCTGCTGTGGAGAGAGCTCGTCAGTCAACTCCGACACTGTCGAAAAGTGGACTGCATTGCTGCCGGAATCGATACGGCAATACAAGCCATCCAACGTGTTCAACGCGGACGAAACTGGATTATTTTATAATATGCAGCCAGAGCAGACATCAACATTCAAAGGAGAGAGCTGTCACGGGGGTAAGCGAAGCAAAGTGCGTCTTACTGTATTGCTTTGCACTAATGAAGACGGCTCAGAAGAGCTTCCTGCCCTTGTGATCGGCAAGTTTGCGAAGCCGCGCTGCTTCAAGAATTTGAAAATGCTGCCATGCCAGTACATGTTCAACCGGAAAGCCTGGATGACGGCTGCTATGTTGAAAATATCTGCAGGAGCTGGATTCAAAAACGGGGGCTAAAAACAAAAATTCTTTTGCTTGACAATGCGCCATGTCATCCATTAGATACGTCGCATTTGAGAAATGTGAAAGTTACATTTCTGCTTCCCAACTGCACTAGCCAGCTGCAGCCACTTGACGCCGGCATCACCAAGTGCATGAAGCAAAAATATCGGAAGTTTCTGGTGCAGCGTCGGCTGGCGGGCATGGAATGCAAGCAGTTGAATAAGAAGCTTTCTGCGCTTGATGCAACGCACTACATTGCTAGTGCATGAGACCCAATCACGCCAGAAACCATTGTCAACTGCTTCAGGCACTGCGGCTTTAATAGAAGTGGTGCTTGTTCTACCAGTGAAGCTGCAGTGCCTGTTGACGACGAACCAGAGTTCGGCAACCTGGAGCTGCCTGGATCCTTCGCGGACTATGTTGGTGCCGACGACGACGTTGCAGTGTGCAGTGCAGTGTCGCTGGATAACATTATCGAAACTGTGCGTCCTGACAGTGCGAGAACTTCCGCCGAGGAAGAGATGGTAGACAATGCAGTGGCTAGTGCGTCTGTTCCGACGTACGCGGACGTGTTGTGCTACGTCGACAACATTGGGCGGTTTGCTTGCGCACGCGACGAAATCGGCGACTTGCTGCCAGATGTCGCAGCTCTCGAAAGAAAGCTGATGCATCGTGGCTGGGCAAACTCGCAGAAAAAAAATCAGATTTTTTTAAAAGGTGAGAATAAAGATTTGTTCACACCTCCGATAAAATGCGTGGTTGGTGGCAGCGTAGAATTGTGCCGCAGACTTTCTTACGCATTATGTGACAACTGTTGTGGGGCAACAATGACCATCAGTGTCTATATTCTTGGGTTTTCGATTATACGACGCCCGGGTTATTAACGATTTTGCGTGGTCCCCTGAAAGTTGTATAATCGAAATTCCACTGTATCCTAATTCTCGACAATTTTCTTGCACTTTTTGTGTCTCAAATAAATCTTGCCTTGTGTTGAACGTGTGCTTTTATTGTTGAGGTAAATTTTAATTAGTACATCTAAAAGATTGCTGTTGCTGGTGTGAGAACCCCAATTTGTGGCCACTTCTTTTTTTCTTTTTTTGCTCTGTACGTTTTCGTGGAAATTTTTCCCCGCGTAATTCTCGCACCCCCCAACTTTGCATCGGTTTTCCGCAAAAAAAAGTGCAAGGATTCTGCGAGTAAATACGGTATACTTGCTTAGAGAAACAGCGGTGGAATGACCGCGCGGGTCTACGATGTGTGCACACTCGAGTAGTTCACTTACAGTAAGTTGCATCACAACGCAAATAGGTATCTATTAATGTTGGTCACAGCCTTGGACAACTGACGGCATAGCAGACGCCACAGCGCATGCAGAGGGCATCACATGTGCAGATGGCCCGAGGCCACTCGGGCTGGTTCGGGACTTTTGGATCACGTACATGTGACATAGCCGCCTACAAGCTGAGGCTTCCCAAGGCGTCCGCGGGTCGCCGGCGACTAGTACGGGACTTGGTAAATCGATGAAGTTCACTGTTCCGATGAAGACATTCAAGATGAGCTGACGCGACAACGCATCGAGCAGGAGGCTGACAAAGCACTCGCTGTCCTCGCGGAGTTCTGCATCAGTTCTTGCGACAGCGAGCGTGCACACCACCACCACATGGGGTTGAAGAAGATTGTTCTAGCACTAATTCCGATGATGAGGCAGGCTAAGTTGACGCAGTTTTTCATAAAATAAAGGTTTGTCTGTGCCGAGTACATTTTCCTTTCGTTTTGATGTTCATTCAATAATCCAGAATTCGGTTACCTCGGACATTTTCACTGGTCCTGCGAGATCCGAGTTAACGAGCTTTTACTGTATTTATTTTTAGGTTCACATTCAGTCTAATTCAGTTGGAAGTGCTGCCCATCCTGTCGTGTGTTTCTTTGCTCCATGTATGTGCTGTTTCGCAGCTAAAATATGTCGTTAACCTTGCCGTTGCGTACGTTTGCATCAAACGTCACAGGGCAAAAATAAGTTGACCACAACTGTACTCCAATACATTGCACACTAATGAGCCTTAGCCAGGACCAGAGGCAAATTCGTATCCTGACATTCGTACAAGGCATGATTGTATTGCATGGGTTTTCCTCCATGCACTTGTTATAAGTGGTTTCCACTAAATTACTGATGCGTCAGATCATTGGCGTTTAAAGCTAGTCTATGGTGTTAAATTTACTTTTGCAAGAATACATCAGCCACGAACCAGACTTACAGCATCAATACTTGTGAGGCGCACTTCAGCCACTTTATCCGCCAGTAACTCGTTGACAATGGGGACTAGGTACTGATGAATATCCAATGGGCAGTATAGCGCAGCGATCTCCTTCAGCTGCCTGCACAATAATGAGTAACACCACAGTTACTGGCTCTCCGGCTTTCAGAGAGACTACAGTCTTGTACAAGCCTACAGTTGAACCCCTTCATAAGAGGCACTGATGTAAGAGAGAACTGAGTATAAGACACACTTGAGTGCGTATATGAATGATAGCGTGTACCCTGCTTAATAAGAGACCTCATATAAAAGACAATGATTGCTCCCTGGTGCGAGTCCCTTTCTTTTATAAAGGGGTTCAAGAATAGTTTCATAAGGAACTAGACACATTTGCAACAACACTGTCTGGATAATAACAGAGCAACACTCTCGAGTAAGGCCTTTAAAACTTCCTGGCCAAATTCAAAGGGCGTGGCGATACCAGAGCCCTTCAATGCTTTCCTGGTCACGGCACTCCTCCATAACTCTATGGCAACACCTTGCTATGTTCCCACGTATATGCGACAGCCACATTGTATGCTAGATGAAGTATGAGTGGTAGTTGAATTATTTAAGTTTGGTGCTAGATACACCATTGCCTCAAACCAGCACAGCATTCAGCCAAAAGAAGCGTGCATGACGAAAGACCCCTCATTGACAGCGGCATTCCTAGTGGCAGCTTTTGTCTCAGTATGAAACTACAGGTGGAGTTTCGTGACCAGAAAATAATTCAAGGACTCAGGTGCTACGAAACCCATCGCTTCCATATCTACACATGGACTAGCTGGTGGGGGGGGGGGGGGGGGCACTCTTTTGGAGAAAATTTATGCTACCCACCACATTAACCTGTTATCTGTAAGATCGAATGTCTATCTATAATGAATATTAGCGCGACAATAACGGGGACTGGAAAGAAAATACAAACTAGAGCTGGACACAATGTCATTACTGTTGTGTAATGCACAATCACACTAGCGACTTCTTCCTCACTCTTTCAAAACAGCAGTTCCATTGTTCCCGGGTACGTTGCAAACAAATCTCGATCAATAGTACAGATAAGAAGATCAAGATAACATCACAAATCGGTATGTAGTATCCGAATGTCTGTTGTAAGCAGATCCACTGTAATGAGGCTACACTGCATTGTAGCTAAAAATGTATACAGTAGAATCTCGATGATACTAATCTCACGGGGTCACGAAAAATATTTGTATTAGCCGAAATTCGTATCATCGAAACAAATAAAACAAGCTAAATTAACAAAGAGTCAGACGTGAACTCATCCAGGCACAAGTACATAAAAAGCATTTATTTCTTGATGAAGAAGTCTCCGATGTCCTTCTGCCTCTTTTTCTTCGCCAGGTCACCTAGCAGACTTTGTTCGAAAGCATAAAAACGCGTGCACGTGTTGTCGCTGACTTCATCCACGGCCACAGCGCGCCCCAGAATGTCGAGCGCGTACAGCGTTTCAGCCGCCGGTAGTGGTCCTTCGCCGTCGCCCACGTCGTCGCCATCATTGGTGGAATCGGCAGCCTCGCACGTGGCCTCCTCAACAATATCTTCGACCGTGCGCGCACCACAGGTGGCGAGATTGTCATCTGCCGTGCAAAAATCATCCGATGTGCACTCGACGTTGAGCTATTCCCAGTCCTCAATGTAGGATCTTCCGGCTCTGGGGGCACCTCTCCTGGACTCCCGAAGAAGCCGCATTTGCCGAAGCAGTTCGCTACGGTAGTCGGAGTTACCCGATCCCATGCCATAGCTATAAAATGGATGGCGTCCAAGGGGCTTATTCTCAGGTCACTTTCGTCCTTTCGATCAATTTTTGCGAGTAGGTGACGCCAAGAAGGCTCTTAAAATGGTGCTTCACATTCTTAATAATCCCAGCGTCAAGGGGTTGCAGGTGCGTCGTCATGTTTGCGGGTAAAAAGACGAGTTTGACGTTCTGAAGCGTTACTTGCCTCGGGTGGGCGGCGCGCTCGTCAAGAAAAAGAAGAATTTTCCGATTCTTACAAGCCATCCTCCTGTCAAGGAGCGACAGAAACTCTTCAAACAATGCCGCCATCATCTACGCCTTTTTGTTTGCGCGATAGACGCACGGCAAATGACTCTCGCGCTTGAAGCACCGGGGCTTCTGGAACTTTCACACTAAGGTCAGCTTAAGCTTTTCCGATCCGTCGACGTTACAGCACAAGAGCACAGTAATACGCTCTTTGCTTTTTTTTGCCTCCTCTGCAGGCTCATACTCTGCAATGAGTGACAGCAGCTTCTCTAACCAGTTGCTGACAACTGCCTCGTCAGCTTTTTTCGCTTCGCCGCAGACGCTTTTGTAAACGAGAGTGTGCCTAGTCTTAAAGCGCTGCAGCCACCCACCTGAGGCCTGAAATCCGTCGATGTGCAGAGCAAGTGCAAACTCGTCGGCTTTCTCCCGCAAAACTTTGCCATCGATATTTACGCCAGCTGCGGCTACTTCTTTAAACCAAGTCAGGAGAGTCTCTTCAAGTTTCACGTGCTGAGTGGCCTTCACTTGCTTTGCGTTTACGCTGAACGAAAGCACGTTTTTCATTATGGTCACTCGCTGTCCAACAACTGTGCTCAGTGTTGACGTTGCAAGGCCTAGCTCCTTAGCCAACTCCGTCCGCTTTCTCTTAGGATCCTCATCGACCTTTCGAAGGATGTCTAATTTCTCCTTAAAGGAGAACGCTTTTCGCTTGCGAGACATAGCTCGTTGCGACTAGGCAAATTGGCGCAAACACAAAGAACGCGGCCCGAAGCACAACACTGCAGCCACTCCGTCCAATGCCACGCAGAGAAAGAGAAAAGCACAACAGCAACAAAAGCGTCACCGCTCCAAACTCGTTGTGCCTTGCCCCGCCCAGTCCCCCGCGTCGTCGCGTCCGCGCCGCCGCACCGAAAAAGAGAGGGAGAAAGGAAACCGTGGCCAGCGCCATCTCTAAACCTAAACCGAAATCAAAGGACGCAAGTGGTCTCTGAGGTCTCCGATATTGCGCACGCTGCGTGCCGATGTTGGAGGCCGCCACGCGCTGCTGGCAGGCATCGTTGGCAAAATGCCAAACCGGCGCGCGACTCAGCGCTGTTCTATTTCGCGGCCGTCAGTGGGGCGGCGTTCACTCGTATCAAACGACGCGGGCTCGGCAGGGACCACACAAAAATTCGTATCATCCGGAAATTCGTATTAGCCGTGATCGTATCATCAAGATTCCACTGTACATAGGCGTTGAAAGTTGCGTTAAAAATTTCATCCAGAACCTACGAACCTATACACCTTTCACAGGAGTGGCCGCCCCTGTTTAGAGCAGCCCAGAGAGCAGTCAGTTAAAGGTATATACCTAGACTGGTTAGGGTTCATGACATTACTTAACTACCAGGCTCTCATGACGTAATTATGTATGCGGATGACACGAACATATTTTTTATAGCCACATCTCTTGTACAAGTGGAGGCTACGATAAACAGGTATTTAAAAAACCTGTTGTTATGGCTATAATACAGCATGTTTTCGTTTAATTTATTGAAAACTAGGCACATTATTTTTAGGTCAATTAATACTGCTGATTCTTATAAGGCCAATACTCAATTTGTATGCGTAAGAATACATGAAGTTGATTGCCTTAAATTTCTTGGTGTCAGGTTCCACCAGAACCTTTCCTGGAACACACGTGTCAAAATTAGCACCTGAAATATGTAGAAGTGTTGGCTGTCTCTACTAAGTCGCTTGTCTGGTAACCGTGTAATTGAGACTGCAGATGTATTATGCGCATGTGTATGCTACCTTGTATGTATTCTCGAATGGGGAACAACTACGCCTACCAACTATCAAAAACTACCAGTACCTTGAAAGAGCTTTGCGGTGCATTCATGGGTAACGTGGAAGACCCAACGATTTTTCCACGTCATTGTTGCATACTCAATATTTGCTTAAAGCGAACCAAGTCTACCCCTTTCAACTGTTGCAGTATATTAAGAGCAATGAATTACTCACTCACAACCTTACTTTGTATAACGATGCGTACCACTTTCCAAAACAAATCCACCGGGTCCCCAAGACGTGCACAAACTACCGTATATACTCGCATAACGATCGCACCTTTTCTTTTTTTTTTTTCTTCAAAAAACTGACTCCAACTTCGGGATACGATCATTACGCGGGGTAAATTTTCTGTGAAAAAAATATTCTGAGCACTGTAAACGCAAAAAAAAGTCCCTAATCAGAATTCTTACGATAGCTATCATGAACATAACCAAAAATAAAAGTAAATTAAGGCTTACCTTTGTAATAAAATGCACGCATTACGCAGAAGTTACATGCAAGGCACAATGCCCCTTTATTTTTTACCTCTCTGACCCCCGCCCCTAACGTTCATTCAGATTCCGAAGCATCACTGGTGTCAGTGTCGTCGCCGCACCATTCCCTGTTGGAACCGGCAGTGTCTTCCCCGTCCCACAGAGGGTCATCTTTCGTTCCGTCAAGCACGTTGGAAATGCCAGCGACAGTTCAGTCCGCCGCATAAAGCGTGTCGTCCAGCCGGAACTGGCGCAGAAGTCCTTTCTGGCTATTCCCAGTATCCGGGGAAACTGTGCACGCCTACGTTTGTATCATGCCTAATGACACTGCATAACTGTCCTTGCGTATGTCCTTCACGTATTCGAGGACTGCTTTTTCAATGTCGGAGAACTTGCCAGATTTGGGTACGCGGAAAGCCCATCGCGTGCTTTTAGTAGCCATGAGCATGTCGCGCTGTTTTTTCCAATTTCGGATCCGGATTTTGTCGACACCGAAATGTCTGCCGGCAGCGCGGTTGCCATGCTCTAGCGCGTAGTCAAGCGCCTTAAGCTTGAACGCGGCAGTAAAGCTCGCATACCACCCCATGGCGAAACGGCGCTTCGACAGGCGATCACAAAGCACACACACACAAAAAAAAGTGGTCTCAGGAAAAAAAAAAAACATTGCTGCGGGATAAACACAAGTGGACCACCAGGCGGCCGCCGCTGCAACAGTGCAGGATGTCAAAACAAACATGGCAGCTGACAGAGCGAAGCCGCCGCATTTTTTTTTTTTTTTCCGTCAGTTATGGAGGTTGTGAGTACGTCACGCGCGTCAAAACAGTTTCTTTCATCTAAATAAGGAATGCTTTAATTTAAATCAGTAAATTTACGGCATTAGCATAGTGATGCTCGCTTTCAGATCACAAAAACAATGATAGGCGCGTTCAACTAGGCTTGGCACATGACATGTCAATGCGGCAAGTTCAGGGTGCGATCATTATGCGGCGGGAAAAAAACAAGAATTTAGACGACAAAATTTAGGGGTGCGATCATTACGCGAGTAAATACGGTATGGAAAACAAAATTTAAATTGGCAGGTAACTGTGGCTATTGTCGGTGAATGTTTATTTTGATGTTGCACTAAAATTATTGAAAAAGCAAACAAAGAAATATTTACTTGAATGTCATTCATGCTTTAGGTAATTTGTATTTTGTATCAGTTTGTGTTTTTTAGAATGCTTTTTATTTAGTCTACATTACATGCTTAATAGCAGCATTGTGTTGTACTGGAAAATGCCGCTAACTCTGCAATCATGCGTCTTCGTTTATGTTATGCTGTACAAGGGAGCCAAGGCCTTTGTCAGGCACTCAGCCTTGAAGTGAAAAAATTTCACTTCACTTCTCAAGTTGACAATTTCACGTCCACCATCCTCTTCGTGTAAACATTTTGGGCCAATTCCGTACTAGCTTCGCATGTTTGTAGTTAGACTGTACATCAGATGTCGCTAGCAGCATTGTTTCTGCTTTTCCAATAAATTGGAGAACTATAATTACAATAACACATATAAACCCCTAATCACAACCAACTCTGCCAGCCAACAAACATTGGGACAACAGGAGAGACTAAAGTAGCAAAAAACACTGTCCAGTAATTAAATTGCAGGACAGCCGAAATACTGAATTAAAAGGATCTGTCCTGGTGAATCAGGGATTAAAAACACTCAAAACTAACACACCTTGCTAGAGTGGATCGAAAGCGCCAGTTCCGACTGTTATCCATGCAGAGGAAGTCTGCCAACAAAGGCAGTGAGCGGCGCTGGTCTCCTCTACTCAAGCCACGCAAGAATTGTGCAAGCCGCTCAAGCAGGCCAGCTCTCACTTCATCCACATCTCGTATAAAGCCTTCAAAGCTTGGCACCAAGTCCCGTGAAGCAATTTCTGGGCCCAGGATAGTGGCTAGCTCATGCAAACAGGATGCCACAATGTACCGCACCTTCCACTGCATTAAAAAAGAAGGTTTAAGATGAGCAACTAGAATGGGCTCACAGTTGGAGCACCACATATCATTTTCGCAATTTCAAAATAACGCCCCTGAACGACATGCCACAAGATTTGAAAAAAAAAAACTATGGCATGTATTGTTGACGATCAAAAAATATAAACGTCTCTATAAACGAATGACACATGAATATGGTCTCGCACAATGCGGCAGCAAAGTTGCGAATGAAACCTTGGCATGATTGTCTATTAGAAGCACTTAGTATGCTCAAGATAGCGATACACATGCAGCCAAACTCACTCAAGATGCTTATACAAATAAGGTTGTCAGTAACAATGGTATGTTCATCAGCGGCTGTCATCTCACCTTTGCTCTGACACTGATCAGTAAAGGCATCGCTTTAACCGCGTGGAATTAGGAATCGCTGACCAACCTGAAGACCTTTTGTGGCACATTGAAGTGTCTGCAGGTTGAGGTGCACAACTAAACTTCATGCTACAAAAATCAACTGCGATTATCTGTCATTGTATTTATGGCTTTTTTCATTCCAAGGCCTAATATGCTTATTATAAGAGGACGTAGCTGTAGAGAACGGCATTAGCTCTGTGAAAGCCGACAGTAAAGCTCGATGCTCCCATCTCTTTTTATTTCTCACAACCATTATGCCCCCTTAAAAAGGGGTTGATGTTGAGTGAGCTTGCTCTATTTGCCCACCAGTGTGCAGCACTTGCAGATCTAGTATATCTTTGTCACGGTGAAACTGGAGGCCTGCTTCTACAAGTCATGATTAAACTGGAGGGGTGCTTCCACAAGCACATGCCTCTAGTTCTTTAGGAGGCCTGTATTAATTCTTTTTCAATATGTGCCATATTTTTCTGCAATCATGTCTTTCAAAGGGCAGTATGAAAAAAATGTTAGTGCACCTAAACGCAGTCTTTATAACAGATAGACTTTCATACCATATTCAGCCTGGGCATTTGCCTTGAAAGCCAGAGATATAGCACGGGGATTTTAAGAACTCATGGCATGAATGAGGTTCAAGTGAATTGAAGTCAGATTTTCAACATGTAGGCAGAAAAAGCTTGCACAAACCTGCACATCAGACACTAAACAGCGGTAGGTGGTCCGCAGGCAAGGCCAGTACTGGCGCCCAAGGGTAAGTGCCACAGCAGGTAGGCTATGGGCACAGTGTCGTCCTATTTCAGAGTCCAAATTCTGAGCCAAATTAGGATCAGTCATTGTCTGATACCGCTCCAGCAACAGCACAGGTACTATGTCCTAGAATGCAGGAAGTGAAACATAAAATCTCACACTACCGCAAGTTTTAGTTAATACATAAGTTTTAAAATGTCTGTATGTTAAGCAGAATGCTGTCCTCACTAGTTCGATACAGCTGAACTTCTACATATGAGGCACCGATAGAACAGACAATTGGGTATAAGACACACCTGTATGCCCAAGTAGAAATAAGAGGATTAGAAAATGTGAGCATGGTACAGTAGAATCTCAATGACATGAATTTGAAGGGAGTACGCAAAATATTCATATCACGCGATTCGTTTGGACTAAAAACAAGTTAAAGCTGGTATTGATTGATGATGAACAAAACTATTATATGCTGCTGGTGCGGCCCGTTCACACTTGATATCAAAGAGAGCGAAAGCAGTCAAATCTATTGTAAATTCACTCGCTTCGTCCCTTAAGCGGCGAGAAAACTGCGCCGCAAAGTGGACACGAAAAAATCTGCCCAGGAGAATTCACACTAAAGAATTCGAGCGAAAACGCCAAAGCGGACGAAAAACCGAAAACCACATCCGCACCTGTCTCAAATGCTCACATTTGTTTTACCCCTCGTACATGCCACCACCGACGCTTGAGAATTCATTCCATTTTGCCCGTTTCCTGAGCGAAGTTCGTAAGGAGTTCTCGTTATGCATGCAAAGCACTGAAAAAACGCAGCTTGCACCTTTAAAAACGTTGTTTCGAAAGATACGCCGTCATGGCGACTTGCTGCTGCTGCACCTTCTACTTTCAGCATTTTCAGCGATCGTATTCTAAACCAGGCTCAGAATGAATATGTCCTTGTCAAGGCCGTGAGCTTTGGTGTGCTGCACGAGTAGTCCGCAATAGTGCCCATGCAATCCACCACCGACACCTTTTGCTGCTATATTGAATTAGTGGCTGGTTGTTTACATCACATGGCTGCAAAGCAACTGCAAAAAGGCAATCTGCTTTTGCTTGGCGAGAAAATTGATCTCGAAACGATCCGATTTTTTTTCGCATCGGCCTCGCAGCGTGTTTTTAGAGCCACTAAATACAGAACAACTCTGGCTAATTTTGCCACTTTCACTCACCTCGAGGCCAAGAGTGAACGGGCCTTCCTCCCACAGACAAGCCGTTGGCATGTAGCAGTCAATTGCACATAAGTATCATCCATCAGTGGTGGCTGGAGAAACCGCTTGTATTACACCGAATCACGGTGCATTTTGGATAAGGTAGTCCATCCAAAACGTCTTTAGAACTCGTATTATTGCATAATTTGCAAAAAGCGTAATCGTATCATTGAGATGCTACTGTATTTAGATACAGTACAGTCGCCGACAATTCGTTCGGACGCTGAAAATGAGGTCATGCTTGTTTATTCGGACACCATCGCGGCCTTACCACTTGCCCCATTGATCCTAACGAAAAATTACGACCGAAAATTTGGACACAACCCACGTGTCATTCAATTTTTCAGACTCTGATCGAGTGCGGCGCGTGTGCCATGACAAGCTCTCAGTGCTGTTTACAATACGTTTGCTATGTTGGCAGCACTGAAATGTTAAACTAGCTACGAATGGACATGGTCATTGAATGCCTACTGTGGCCAAGCCATGTTAAGTAGGGAGTGGACTTTTGACTCGGTGAGGCCTTTTTCCTAGCGTGTTGGCACAAGCACTGTCAGGTGCTTCTGCGAGTAGGCCCGATAAACCTCTCACGCTCAGCGTCTCGCTCTCTTGAGTGTTTCTTCGGCATGCCAGCTGCTGAAATGGCTTCAACATCACTCGTTTCTGTGCCGCCACGACTACCAAAGAAATGCGGCCAACGCAGTAGCTACAAGAAGCTCACAATGGCGAAGAAAGCGGAGATTATTTTTGGGGTTTCTTTATATAGTTCGATCTCCTCGTTTAAAATCTGCTTTCATTTTTTTTCATAGTTCATTCAGTTTTTTTTAACCATACATTGAAAAAAAAAATATGCATAATTGTGCAAGCTTAGGCGACGATAGTGAGCTCAAGAAAGCACTAAAAAATAGCAAATGTTGCTCCTAATGAATTGAGGAATTCAATAAAGCAAAGAAATGTTCTGTAACATACTTGTGCTGGCCTAGAGAAAAATTATAATGGCAAGTTTCAGCTTTCCCATACCCAAGGTACAAGCTTTTGAAATTATCTAGCTGAATACAGTCGATCCCAAATATATCAAACTCAGATATATAAAATTATTGACTATATCCCCTTGAATTTTCAATGCAAAAGTATGGGTCCGATGCACCCGTATATTGAACTCCCGCACAGCGGGACATCCTATATATCGAACGCTGCGCCGCGCCGAAGCCCAGAAAGTGCATTTTTCCTAGCAAATATTGATCAACTTTAGGCCACGTTCTAACAATTTTCGATCTTTTTTTTTTTTTGCGCGCAGGCGACGAAAAAAAAAACGATGTCATTTTATCGCGCTGATCTGGTTCGTTGCGCGGCACTCGTGTGTATGTACATCGATACGTTTGATGCGAAATCTGCAGGTCTTACCGCACTGGCATAGTGTTTTCCAAAAGACCGATTGCCGAGGGCACTGAAAGAGATTGCGAAATGACTCGGCGATCTCAGTGCGTTCACAAGTGGTTCGCACTCCCTTCCTTGTTTGTTAGCGCACAATGGCATGCGAGCCTGAAAAGCATGGCCTTCAAGATGTGCAACCTTGTCACATATTTTTTAAGTGTTTTTGTTTTCAGAACGCATGGCTCGGAAACTATGCTTTTTTTTATCGTTTTGCATCAATGTCGCTAAAAGCAGCGGCTGCCAGCTACAAAGCCACAGTGACATCGATATCGCCAACATGTCGACATTGAGAACTCCGGCGAACTCGGCGTTGCATCTTTTGCAACTTGTGCCCTTCTCGCCTCGTTCCTAATAAATCCTCATTCGAGAGTTGAATTGAACGTTAACCCGCACGTAGCGATAAAAATTATTACTGGTGCTTGGAGCAAGGTCAAGTAAAACACTGTCATAAACGTTCCTTGCGGGCCAGGTGTTGACTTTGGGTGCGTCCAGCCGCTGAACACTGTGTACAATGCCTCAGTGAATTCCGCGACTTATCAGTGTTTCCGGGCACCATCTCTGGCAGTAGTGACTTCATCGGTACAGATTATGTTTCTGACTGCATCGATGCTGAAATTTTGGCTGCCGTTGCAAGTCACGCGGAAATGTAGCCGTGCGGTTATGAATGTGCCAGCGCCTTCGCTTCCACCGCTAACCAAGCTTTTGCTTCGCTACAAAGCTTGCATCAGCGTTCTGCGACAACTAACGTTGTGGCCAAAGGAGCGAAGTTCGTTTATTTGAAAATCTTTAATGATATTAAGGATGACTGAAACTTGGCGGCGTGCAAGAAGCAAAACAAGTTTACGGACTAAATAAAGTGGGGTAACCTGCAGTTTGCACCTTGTTTTTGAGCGAATCGTTATGTCAGCTCTTGTAACGATTTCCGAGGCCCAAAATTCAATTTAGGCCTTAAATATGGATATTCTGTATTTCGAATTCTCAATATATCAAACTATTTAGCGATCCCCCTCGAATTCGATATATCCGGGATTGACTGTGTGCTTATGGAGACCTCTGAAAGTTGTTTCTTTATATTCAAAACATGTTGAACTTTAAGCGTGCTAAGTTTCATTAAGTTCTGACTGCAAGAAGTGCACAAATAGTGCAGAAACTAAAAATGCAGCAAAACAAAGAACTGAGAAAAACATGTCTGAAAATTTAATAATATACTCTTCAACCAATCTGCATTAAATTAATAGAAAATGGTTATCCAGAAAGAGTTCACAGCCTCAGAATGACCCAGCACCATACGTTGGACCCTCACAGTCTCTGCGAGCTGCCTGCTCCAGACTGGCCTTTTTTGCGGCACAGTGGCCGGAGGCCAAAGGCGCTTACTTTCTGGCTTGCGCGAGGTTTTTGGGAGAAGCGTCCATTTTTTTGCCAATGGCAGTGAAAGTCTTGAGGTGCACTGGTTTTGAAACACCAAGGATGCACAAAACCACAGAAGCTGCTCGTGTCCGCCGCCGATCGCACACGCTGAGGCACACGTTCACGGCTAAGCTGTCCTGTTCACACGTCTCCTCACTTCTACTGCATGACTGATACACTCGGCTTGATGTGTACTTGGATGAAACAAGAGTTTCAGCATATGCATCATTTTGCCAATAAAGTGCCAAAACAATGTCAGTCCTTAACGTCTACCTGCAAATTCTCGAACAGACAGCTCGTACTGCCCCCAGCTGGGGCATACTGCGCCGCTGACGAGGTTGTGCATCGCATCGGTTTCACAAATAAATGTGCTTCCACGTTCCTCCTGACTCTTTCTTTCGTCATCGAACATGTTTGTCTTTCGCTCTGAAGCACTGACCAAGTCATCGACACCATAAATGAAGTACAAACAATCCAAATCAGGTGCGTAACTGCCGCGGCTAGGCCTAGCAGCACACGAACCTACCATCACCGAAGCTCTCCGCTTGCGTTTGGGGCATCTTCCCTTGTGCTTTAATGCCTTGTCAAGAACTTCCGTGAATGAAACTCTCATCTCTAGCCAGGAAAAAAAAGTAACCTAGGCGACTGTGTCCGTCAATGTCTCAGCAAAAGCAGGAAAATGAAGAAAAAGCGCTCTCCTCCAGCTGCGCATCGGAATGCCCGCAACCAGTAGCAGGGCTCCAATCATACCACGTGACTTAAAAGGCACAGTCGCCACACCAGAATGCAGTTGGGAAAAGATTTTTTTTTTTGTTGTTGTATTTTCGGCAAGGCAGGCGCCTGCTGAAGTGGGCCGATTAAGGAGAAGGCTTGGAGGAATGCAAAACACAACAAAAGACAGAATATATATTTTTTTTTCAATGAAGAATTGCGCGTCTTCGACCCGCACCTCCCGTCTTAACACTGGCACGATCACCAGACATAGGGAGTGCAGCTATTCAGTGCTTGCAAGGTAACAAAAAATTGTAAACAATGTGGTCCTAGAGTTCGACGTCATACTTGATCAGCCAGCCGGTGTCTGAAAAATCAAACTGTGCACTGTGGGGCGTTTGAATTTTTGGTCACGAGTTTACATTACTTCAATAGGATGAATGGTGGTGCTACAAAGGTGTACAAATAAACGAGCATGTTCAAATTTTCAACGTCCACATAAACGGTTGCCAAATTTGTTTCTAAATAAACTCTACATATTTTTAATCATGCAAAGACAGAAAACAGCTTACTTGTTCATGTGCAGACCAGCTATCAGAACGAGTGTTGTGAGATATCGAAAGCAGCTTGCTTTCACTGCCTGCCATCTCTTTTGAGTTGCTCATCCGTACTTTGTGCACACCTGGAAGAAACAACTTCCATTATTGCGTGCATCAATACAAAAACATTATGAAAAAATATGTACATTGATAGGAAACTTTCTATACACGATACCTTTCATTAAAAAAAAAAAAACGAGGTAGTTTCATAGGTCCACTAATATTAAAAAACTGTAGCAATCTTACTGTGCAGTACTGGAAATAACAGAAACATAACGATGTGAACAGTAGTCTCGCACGTTTGGGCTGTGTTGGCTGTGTAGACTCCCAGAAAAGAAAGCTTAACTGTCACCCCACTGAATACCTGCCAAGTTCAAGGATTCCGAATTCAGGAGATTTCCGCGACAAGAGAGGAGGGTGGGGGGAAGGGGCCTAAATTATTTGCTCTTATTTTTTTTGTCGGCACCAAAAAAACTTGAACAAAAAACATTGTGAAAAAAAAGAGGAAATGGGGGGGGGGGGGGGGTCTGAATTGCAAGCACCAACATCAGCCTTGCAGTCTTATAGTGAATTGGAGTGGCCGAACACACGAGGGTAGGGTTTCCCACTAAGGTGAAAGTCACAAAGAACAATGCAACTAGCAGAATCTATTTCCGTCAAAACAACTTGTGTATGTCTTCCTGGGACACAGCTGGCTGCCGAAAAAGCGCGAGTCAAAGCTTTGCTCACTACTAGATTCTTTTCACAGGAACGCCAAAACGAGTCTGGCCCTTTCTTTTTTTACGTATTTAAAGTCTTTAATCTACCGCTGCATTAGCCGGGTGGCCTTGAAGCTCGTAGATCGCTATTGCGTTACCGTGACCGCGGTTTTATGCTCGATGGTTGCGGCAAACGGTAGTTCCTTTTTAATCCCCCTGTGCTTGGCTGCACACGCACCTTCAAAATTACGCCATCTACAATCGCATCTGCCGCAGTTCAGTCCACAGAGTTTGTTGGAAGTAGCGTTGGTTTGACTGGTTGAGCGTTGAATGCGCGCACACTTTCAAGGTTCTGTCACGTCGTCGCCATACATGATGGTGTCAAGAACGACCATGGTTTCATCCATAGCGGTCGTGGAAACAACAATCAGACGCACTGCAGAAGGCAATGCATGCACCGGCCGCATGCGCACTTGCGAAGCTTCGAGTACGCTGCGCTCGGCCTTTGTTCGACGGTTTGCGTATTAAAGTTCGTATCACCTACCGCAATTAAGAAATGTGTTCGAAACATTCGAATTTAGGCCCGAATTTAGGCCCGAATTTAGGACCTGCGGGTCAGCAGCCGAGCACCTTAGCCACTAGACCACCGCGGCAGGGTAGTGCGACCCCATCAAGAATGCGGGCTTGTGCACAATTGACACTCTTAGCACGTTGCTCAACAACCAAGAAGTAACAACTCTGACAGTGGTTAAGTTGCGCCAAAGTACGCCATCTTGGGTTTAAATGTATTGCGGGAAAGCCACTCACCACCCACGTAGGAGCAGCGCTAGCGCTTATAGCATTGCTTTATTTTTTTATTTTTATTTTTTGCTTTCTTTTCTTATATTTTTTATTAAGGTACGAGACAAACTCAGTTGCTCTTTAAGCCTTGATTTTATGTTTACGTTTTTGGTAAGTAATAATGAAAAAACGTTCTTCAGCTCACTGAACCAGTGGTACATATGTATAGTAGGCCACACATTAGCTTCGGCTTCTTTTGCACTGTTTTTCCCCTTTACATATATAAAATTATTTTTCACTCTTGGTCGCTATTGAGCAAGGGACGAAATATTTTCATTGCGTTGGGCTCATTCGTTAACGGTGCGAGTTAACCAGGTAAAACTTTCTAGTCTTCAACTGAATCGAGCTGGATAGCGAGAAAGAGTGGCCGTGCAATGCCCGCACTAAGCTCGCATCTCGTATTACGATCGTATTACAATCGCTGCTCATGACAATTGATGTGAATCGTCATTCAATAACCCTGTCGTGTCCAACATTCTTTTCGCTTAAGGTTTAGAAGCTGCATTCAATTCACGCACTAGCAGCAACACCTTGCCGATTCAAATAATTCTAGTTTAAATTCTCCCTTTATTTTTAGAGTTTTAACACAGACTATATAATTTGGACGTATGCAGCTGACACACGCTGCCCAACTCTGCATGTATAACGTATTCACGACTGCATCTGTGGTTAATACAAATAGAGCAAGTTTTGCAGTGCTGCGGACAGATTACAAAAAAAAAAAAAAAGCCAGGCGCATGGGCGTCAGCAGAGAAGTGGAAACAGGGCCCTTGCCCCCCCTCAAGCCAACACAGCACTTGCCCTCACCCAAGCTATACCAGTGCTCTCGCTCTCCCTAAGCAGCAATGCAACAGTGGTTTGCACCCCTAAGAGAAAATCCTGCCGACAACAATAGCCAAGCGTTTACTCCTTCCGACTGAACACTAATCTTTGTATAGCAACACCCGCTGCACCCCCATTTAATCGCATGGGCTCTACGTAATACAATTCAACACAGAATGCAATTGCTACCGCATTTCTCGTGGCCAACAAGCAGCATGGCTACATTACCAAAGAAGCACGGAGAGAATGACAACAGCCATTGTCAACCCCGCTTAATCTACCCGGAAATCGCGTATCGTTGGCTTCTCCACGGTGCAAATGAACCACCTATGACCACGTGATGGCGCTCGGCGAATATGGGTGCTGAACTCCATTAGGCGGAGCAGGCAGCGCTCAGAAAACAGTGGCGCAACTCTGCTACCTAAAGGTAGCATATACAGTAACTCTAGTTAATTTACACTCATCCTGTGGATACATGTGTGTTCTTTTCTAGCACCGTTCTTGGTTTGTTTTAGCAGCACGCTTCCAGTATCAAGCTATAACAGCTGTTCATCAGCACTCGTCCTGTGCACTTTCTTTTCGTGCGTCCTTCGTGCTTGAGCCGTGCGCTGATGTATGGGGTTACTTGGCCTTCTTCGCGTGACATTCTAATTTCTTGCTATCACATTCACTGCTTCACCCTCGTCACAAACCATCTTTTTTTTTTTTTTTCACATGCAATTTTGCGAAATGGGATGGTGTGCACCCACGCCGCATTACTGCTTCAGAAATGGGGAGTTTGACAGGTTCACACACCAATGTACCACATTTAGGAGGTCGCAATGTCGATATGAAAGTGAACTGCTTAGGTAATTCAAGGATTTTCAAGGATGGTAAAAAATTCCAGGGCTTTCAAGTGCCTTGAAAGTGCATTTTTCAAATTCAAGGGTTTTCAAAAGTTTCAAGGGCCTGTACAAACCCTGCTACTGAAGCTTTGGCACACTCATTCACCGCATGAGAAATAAAAAAAAGCACCCACATATTATCCTTGCAATACTGGTCAGGCATGCCGTGAAGCCTACTTGTCCACAGAAATTTTCATATAACCTGCACCCAAAGTTTTCAGATAAAAATTTTTTTTAATATTTTGTGCGTGTTATGCACACAAAAACAAGTGCGCTCAGCGTGCGGCCAGAAACATCTGAATGAGTCTTAGTTCAAGGCACACACTTGCTTAGACCAAAGGGAGTCAAAATAATCAGATCTCCCCGAATTTTCTGGTTTATAGGTGAAATTTCACTCCAGCGAAATATCAAAACAATGACTTTTTTCGTGCAGGGGTGGAAGCAGGCTTCAATAATTTGGAGCAGCTTTGGGAGCAGGAATAATGCAGTTTTGGAGCAGCTTTGGAGCAGTAAAAAGAGTTTTGGCGCAGCTTTGTAGCAGCAAAAGGTGTGTTTGGAACATCAAAATTTAGTTTTAGAGCAATTTCTCAGGCCACACATCACTGGTGATTAAAATTTTTGCATTCTGGTAAACACAATAAAAAAGTTGATTGATATGTGGGGATTAATGTCCCAAAACTACCATATAATTATGAGAGACAACGCGCCGTAGTGGAGGGCTCCGGAGATTTTGATCACCTGGGGTTCTCTTAGGTGCACTTAAATCTCAGCACACAGACCTACAACAATCACGCCTCAATCGGGAATGCAGCCGCCGCAGCCGGGATTCGATCCCGCGACCTGAGGATCAGCAGCCGAGTACCTTAGCCACTAGACCACCACGGCTGGGCAACACAATAAAAAAAGTTCAGTGGTTTTTACTAAGCACGCAATGCTGATCAAGTGACCAGACTTACCCAAAATTCATACATATTAAACCTTACAACATCAAAGGTGAAAGCACAGCAACTAAAGAAAAAAACTTAAGCGGTGTTCTGTACAGCTACTAGAGCTAAGATGAATGAAAAAAATTATGTTAAAATTTTGCAATGCTCAAAATGATTAAAACATCACATGGAACATGAAAAGCAACATTAGACTTGAGATGAGCTACTACATAATATATGTTATCTTCATACTAAACTCATAGGGCTCAATAAAAATAAATGTGAAAACTTATGTTCCAGTCATTGAAGTGCCACAGCTGACATGAGCACCACGAAGAAATTTAAATGCGCTCGCCACGCCATCGCCAGGCAATTAAGTGAAACATTTTTATTACAATTGGAATTATATGGCCACTTCAAGGATTTTCGCCATCGCTGCCATATTCCTGCGTACAAGTTGGTACCCTTCCCCGCGCATTATACATTCGACCCACGTGCGAAATCCCGCAAGCTGGGGTGATGAGCGCTGCTCAAGCAGACATCAAACGAGATGGCCAGTCTCGGTCGTTCGGAGGGCGCACGCATTAGCATCCATCTCAAGCAGAGATGAAACACGCCGCCAATCTCGAACGAGCATGAAAAGACGCCGAGGAAAGGAGGTCACCGTGAACTTTGATTCTATTCAATTGCATGGTTGCGATAGCTGGCGCGCATGATATCAGCAAGAATCAGTGGACGGCTCGTAAACAGTTCTACGTGGTGCACTTTTGACGGAAAGAGATTGTGCGACAAGAGCATGCTCTCTGCAATGGACGTACTTATTCTTTTAAACCAGCGTTTTGTTGTTGTGAGTGTCGCGATGTCGAATCCTAAAAAGTTAGCTGTCAGCCTTCGTATTGTCACGAGGTCGTGATGTCGACGAAGGCAGCAGCCGCTGTTTTCATGAAACTTTTATTGCAAAAGCAATTATATGGACAGTCATCTGGTTTTTGCATTCGTCATCACCGCCGCTGTCATTCACTCATTCACGTATATGTAACTCTGTATGTATGTATGTGTGTGTGTGTGTATATATATATATATATATATATATATATATATATATATATATATATATACAGGGAAGGGTGCTCTATCTTACTATTTCAGCATAGCTAACATCGCCTTATCGGCCAGGGTCCTCTGCGCACGCACTTATCTCATGAGCGAACAAGAGCAGGAACTTATGGTTGCCGCGCGATAGCGCGGCAACCATAAGATCTCAAAGAGTACAACCATAAGATCCCAAAGAGTACAAAGGCTGACGTCCCTGCCTTTGCAGTGCCTTCTTGGGAATCGCATATTTACGTCCCAGAGGGAATTATAACAGCATCCAAGAAGCCTTCATTGAAAAGAGTTGTCAACACAGTGCTGAAGCATTATTTTTACAAGAACGTCAAAACATTTAATGGGCACTATTATAATACATTCTCCAAATATTAACTTTCGTACTCTAGCAAATGAGCTCTCCAGCAATATTAGGCGAGTAGTTACCTTCTTATTAGAACAGAAAAATAAAAACATTCAAAAATTTTGTGTCAGTGCTCCTCTAAATAAAGCATCTAGACAAATGCAGCCTCAGGGAATGTACAGTGGAATCTCGTTATAACGAAGCGGGATATAACGAACTAATGGATATAACGAAGCAATTGTAATTCCCCTTGAAATTCCCATAGACGCCCATGTATTTAAAACCTCGTTTTAACGAAGCGAAAATTTCCTCACAATGGATATAACGAACCATTCTTTGACCACAACGGGCATTTACTGATCATTTTGGTATACGTGAATTCAATATCTTATAGCGCGCGCCGGTTCACGTCCCATCACGGCAGCGGTAATTCAAAACTCGCGCCTTGCGCCGCCTGCCAACACGCGCGTGGGTGCACGTCGCCCTGCCTCCCCTTTCCTCAGGAACTAATGGACTCGCCCGCGCAGCAACTCGCGCGAGCGTGCGCGTCAGCCGACCTCCCCTCTCCTGTGGAACTCGTTGACCCGCCCGCGCATCTGACCTCCTCCTTCCCTCAGCTCCACGCTGGGTCGGCGGAGATTGCGGCTTTGTTGGTTCCTTGTCGTTCGCTGTGGAAGAGCAACACCCCTCCGTCCCTAGACATGGACAACGGCAAACGTAAGCGCAAAATCATCACAATTGAGCAGAAGTCTGCAATGTTGAGAGCCGTTGAGTCCGGCGTCAAGAAAAAAAAAGTGGCCGAAGATTTCGGCGTATCGTTGAGCACGCTGTCAACGATCTTAAGCAAGAGAGAAGCTATTGCCGACGCTGTCGCACGTGGCGTCAAAGGCGACCGAATGAAGCTGCGAGCCCCCGCCTTCGAAGCTGTCGAGAAGGCGGTGTTCAACTGGTTTTTAGAAATCAGAGCAAGCGGCACTCCTGTGAGCGGGGCACTTCTGCAGCAGAAGGCAAGGAACTTCGCGTGCATCATGGGGCACGATGATTTTGTGGCGAGTGACGGCTGGCTGCAGCGCTTCAAGGAGCGCCACGACATCGTCGGCAGGGCTGTCAGCGGGGAATCGCTATCTGTGGACCGCGAAGCTGCAGTGGCGTGGATCAAGAAGAACATTGGGCAGCTGCTCGAAAAATACAGCCCCAGGGATTTGTTCAACGCAGATGAGACTGCCCTGTTCTATCAGATGTTGCCGCAAAAAACCTTGGCCCTCAAAGGTGACCGCTGCCAGGGCGGTAAACAGAGCAAGGTCCGTGTGACCGTGCTACTTGGTGCGAATATGGACAGGTCCGAAAAGGTGCCGGCCCTCGTGATCGGCAAAAGTGCATCACCACGATGCTTCAAAGGAAAACGGAAACTCCAAGTGAGTTATGTGGCCAACCACAAGGCCTGGATGACGAGAGAGATCTTTGCACAATGGCTGCGTGAGTGGGACGAGCGGCTGGGCAAGCACAACCGCAAGATATGCCTCGTCCTGGATAACTGCGCGGCCCACCACACTACCGTTGTGTTAAAAAACAATGAGCTGTGCTTTTTGCCGGCTAACACTACTGCGGTTGTGCAACCCCTCGATCAAGGGGTGATCATGAACTTTAAGTCGGGCTACCGCAAGCGTGTCATCGACCGCATTTTGCTCAATATGAGCATGAAGCGCGAGACAACGATCGACCTGTACATGGCGATCGAGATGTTACAAGCTGCCTGGATTGCCGTCACGGCAAGCACGATCGCCAACTGCTTCCGGCATGCCTCATTTGGCGTCAGCAGCGGAGAGCCCAGCGAAGATCTCGGTGATGTCGCCAGTGAGGGTGCCGCGGGCGACCAGGCCGAGACATCGTGGGACGCTCTCCTTGACGCCGGCGTTGTGCCTGACTGCGACACTTTCTGCACGTACGTCGGTGCCGATGCTGACGCGGTGACAACCGAAGAGTTGTCAGATGCGGAAATTGTGCGCGCGGTGACGGGGGTGCATAATGATGACAGTGACGAATGTGTTGACACCCCGGAGCCTAACGAACCCGACGTACCGACGCCCGCGCAAGCGCTGGATGCGACAGACCTGCTGCGCCGCTTCTTTGGTGCTCATGATGACGGTGAGGACGGACTTGAAATAGCGGCTGCCGCTGAAAGAGCAGTCATCCGCTTGAAGAAGAGTCGGCAAAAGTCTATCAAGGACTATTTTTCTTCGAAGTGATCTGCCAGCTGGTGTGCTGAACTTGGCGGAAATAAAGTGCATTGTTCTTTATTATTTTGCTAGTTTTTTGCCTTCCGACGGCCGTTTTTCTCTGCGCAGCGGGCTGCTGTGATATTCGGTGGTGAGTACATTCTCTCTTGCTGGCTAATTGTCGGTAGAAATGGATATTGGCTATAACGAACTAATGGTTATAACGAAGTAATTACGACTCCCCCTTCAACTTCGTTATAACGAGGTTTGACTGTATGGGTTTTTACTGTATGGCTCCTTTTTTTGTACGTAAATTTGTTGGGAGCAAAACATTCATGCAGTATCACATAAAATTATCGGGATGCATGAGAATTTATTTTATTCTGTTAGAAACAAAAATTTGACATGCTGCCTATGAAAATTCAGAAAAATGGGAGCGTAACAGCACTTCAATATAGAGCTCACCTGCAACTTCCCCAGCATCATTAAAAGCCACAGAAGCTTCAGTGAATGAAGAAGAAAGCAAGAGGTTACAGTCTTGGTCAGCAGATGTTAGTGAAGATAAAGCCGTCCGAATTCTTAGAGTAGATGAATCACCGAAGCGCCTGAAAAGTGCAAACAAAATTCAGCTGAAATTAAAACAAAACTGGACCAAAATACATCAGCGACGTGGTGAGCCCAGTAGATGAAGCAAGGATTTTACCTTTCTTTAGGAACAGTGTCGGCTTGTCCTGCAGATGAGACTGCATTTGTAGCAGACTGATGGGTGTCTGTACAAAGTACTTCAACACTGACGTCAGAAGAGATACATAGATTTTCTTTGTCTTGAGACATTGCCCTGACATGCACAGCTGTAGGACGATCACCTAAGAATTCAATGTCCACTTCCACCTAGGTAAAAGTAATAAGCATATCCAGTGACCAAGTGCCAACTATAAAATCTCACTAAAATGAACATGAAATTATACCTAAGATGTTACTAAGCATTCCTAATTATCATCAAGTTATGTCAATTACTTTCTTGCTCACTTTACATTTCATAATAAATTATCAAAAGACAAACAATCCAAGTTCGTAGAGATGTTTACAAGAACATACAGTCACTAGGCTTCCCAGACAAGAGATGCGAACAATTTTTAGACATTTCCCCAACTTTCAGTGCAACTCACAACTGTAGGGTACAAACCAAGAAGCTAAAAAAAGCTTGCTACCTTACAACTCAGGGCACTCAAAATTGGTGGAGAGCCAATCAACAATTTAAACATCAACCAAGCTCTGAGAAAGCCAGGCCACCACAGCATCAACTTGAGTATGCTATGGCCCGTTATTAGGCTCGGGGACCGTTCCTTCACTCTGGGATTGTTCCTTTACTATTACAGTGTCTACAACTGAAGAAGTTCTGAGAGGCCTCAGCAACAGAAAGGATGCAGCCAAAAACACCGATAGAAAAAGGGTGAAGAATTTATTACCTTGCATATGTTTTCCCCCATGGCCTCAAAAAACAAAAAAAAATTTGATCACACACAGCTATGGACTAAGGCATGTGCCTAGACAACAAACTGCCTCTCACAGTCACGAAAATCACATATAGGGACCACGGGCTCATGCTTAAAAATCAGATTGAGAGAGCATAGCATACCTGCCAAGTTCAAGTATTCAGAATGGGGGAAATTTCCGAGGAGGGCGGGGGTGCACCAGAAGAAAAAGAAACGTCACGAAAAACAAGAGGAGGCATCCCAATCGCAAGCATGAGCATTGCGGTTTTATAATGGCTTGGAGTGGCCTAACACACGAGGGTAGGGTTTCTCACTAAGGCATACCTGCCAAGTTCAAGGATTCTAAACCAGGAAATTTTCCCAATGGGGGGGGGGTCATACTGAATTATTTGCTCCCTTTTTTATGCACCAAAAGAAAACAACGAATCATCATCAAAAACAAGACAAGCGAGGGGGAGGTCCCCATCGCAAGTGCCAACATCAGCATTGCGGTCTTTCAATTGCTGCTGCTACAGACAACATTGCGGTCTTTCAATTACTGCTACTACAAACAAAAGTGGAATACACAGGTACATCATAAATGACTTTCTTGGTATATGAACACGCACTAGTACATATGATAAGTGAAGCTTGCCTTGGAATGTTAACAAAAAAGCTCATACTAGCAAATTGAAGATTAATTTTTAAACATGTGTCTTATACCTCTGGAATAGGCACCCGCCAAAACTGGAATGTGTTGAAATCGCTCTCAGCTCCAGGATCCACATGAACAACTAGCCTCTGCCTGTCCCCTTGTACAGACAACGGCTCCCTAATTTTGAAGCTCTGTGTGCGTGCTTCCTCTATAGACCCGTCCTTTAGAGGCATGTTTCTTTTGAACAATCCTTGTACAGCCAAGGTCGAGTCTGCCACCTGCAAAATAAATTTTTTGCAGGCAACTGCAACACAAAAAACCAAATGTGCAGGCACAATTGCTAAATGATACAGCCTCTAAAAAAATTCTAAACCTTGACAAAACTACGATTGAAAAAAAAAAAATATCAGTGCAGCATTGATGCGTTTTTCCCACAAACTTGCAGGAGACTACACAAAGTTGTAAACATACCATGATAATGACTTCACGGGCTTTTGCGAACAGTTAGTTTAGGCTCGAAACTAATGCAGCAGAGCAAATAGAAATTTCGTTCGAATTATTTTGATTTGAATTCGAATAGCATATAAAATCTACACTCATTACAACAAACCCGCATACAACACAACACTTTTAGATATACAACGGATTATAAATCAGCCTAATTTTGGTCTGTGTAAAACCGCATACAACACAACACTTTTAGATATACAACGGATTATAAATCAGCCTAAGTTTGGTCTGTGTAATCAATTATTGGACCAAAGTTCAGTTTTAGCGGGCCACCATACAGGGATAATCAGGTCCAACTGACGTAATCAGCGGCATTCTTTCCAGTAATCGGGCACCAACAGCATATTCTTCTCGCGTTGGCCGAGAATAACAAAAGACTTGACCACGCCACTCTGTGCGCACTGGGGCTACCACAATTTTAAGTTGTGCCAGGCAACATTAGTGCCTTCGGGACAAGCCAAGCCTACAGCTAAGCCAGTCTGAGAGCATGTCGGTCACGCGGACAGTGCAAATTGATAGTATTATCTCTCAAGGATGCTCACCATCTGTTATCACAAATTTCTTATCAAGCTAAATGTAAACAAAATCTTTTTTTGTGCGTTTTGCATCATACGTTGGTCACTCCATTGATAGACACTGCGACCAAAATAAGACATTCTGACGCTCCTAGCAGGAGAGTACCGATGTCAAATTCACATACACAGAACGATCGCCACTTACGAGAGTTCCGATTGATTGAGTCTACTGTACTAGAGCCCTTTTCCCATTAGCCATTCTTAGACACTATGGATTGTAGGAAGAATAACTTTTTGTCCTTTTTAGGCAGTCAAGCAGAGCATTGAATAAGATATCACATCATACCAACTACATTAGCTTAACCGCCACATACACCAATAGAATCGCTCCCTTTGCCAGAGTGAACACCTCTAGCAAGCATGCATATATGAAAAGCCAACCTACGTCTTCTGCAGTGCTGCATGGAGGCAAGTCTTTTGTGTTGTCACAAGAAACCGTAAAAGAAGGGCTGCTTTTACAGCCACAAGTGCTGTCTTCTGTGGCCGTAGAGGAGTTGGTACAGGCTTGCTCCCCTTTGTCATCTTTCCACACTGCCTGCTGTTCTGCTTTCTCTGGCACAGCACAGCCCACTTCATCTCCATCCACTGCAGCCACCTGACACCACAGTGCACTGTTAGGGTCATGACACCGCCATACATTACAACACTAATTTAATGGCATCAGCCAAGTCACCGTCAAATGCAGCTTGTAAGAACTGTTCATCGAAACTGAAATGCAAATTTATACTCTTAACTGTTATCATTACAAACAGCATTTACAAAATGGCCTCGAAACAAGTGAAATCTCGTTGAAACGTACCTGACTAAACGTATACTATGCGTTGACCACCAGCTACAAATTTGCATCTCCTGACGTGCGCCCTTGGGTCAACATTGATTGATTGATATGTGCGGTTTAATGTCCCAAGACCACCATATGATTATGAGAGATGCCGTAGTGGAGGGCTCCGGAAATTTCGACCACCCTGGGGTTCTTTAACGTGCACCCAAATCTGAGCACACGGGCCTACAACATCTTCACCTCCATCAGAAATGCAGCCGCCGCAGGCGGGATTCGATCCCGCGATCTGCGGGTCATCAGCCGAGTACCTTAGCCACTAGACCACCGCGGCGGGGCCCTTGGGCCAACAATAGAATAAGCGCATTGCCATCGCAAATATTGCCTTAAAGGGCCACTCACCAGGTTTGACAATTTTGAGCTGATAAGCACAATGCGTAGACGAGGTGTCCAAGATCACGTGTGCCAAAATTTTCAACGCTACGCGACGCGGAAATGGGTCAAATTTCAAGATGAACGCTGTTCCCCCTCCCCTATGCCGGCGCCCGCCTAGAGAAAGAGCATGACGTGCGCGTATGAATGGCCCTACGTACACGGCAATGCAGTGACGTTGGTCCTCTACGTAGACAACTGTTCTGACGCAGACAGTGGCATGTGATATGGCGAAAATTATTCGACGCGGCATGCGTAGTTTATGTAATTTGTTGCTTGAAAAGGTCAATAAAACTCTAGATAAATAATGAGACCCAATAAGAGAATGTGAGCGTATTTTTTCCATTTTTCTCCTGCGAATTGCAACGAGATGCTGGGCTAATGTGTCGACGTTTCACCTGCGTTTCTGTACCCGCGGTCAGCGCATTCAGCAGATGACCACCGTGGAACCCTCCTACGCGTTCGCGCACTCATTGTGCTCCTCTATTCTACCGTCTCTAAGCCAGCGTTTCCAAGCGATCCCACAGAAACAGGCAGAAGACCCCAAAATAACACTGGTCCACAAAGCAACGCCGCTCGCATGCTCGGGGGTTGGACTTGTTTGGGCACGTCATGCGCACATCACCTCTTGGTCGGATGCTGGAGAGGGTGTGGAAGAGATTTGGCTTGCGAAGGCTGCGCAGAGGAGCGGCAAGGGTTTAGAGCTCACCTCCTCTCATCCTGGTTTTGCACCGCTTCAAAAAACCCATTTTCTCCGCTCGTGATGAACCAATACAAAAAATTTTTGTGGCAAAATGTTCCTCATCGGACACCCAACAACTTCCACTGTCTAACTGAAATTCGCTATGAGGCCTGGAGAGTGGCCCTTAAGTGCCCACCAAAAAGCAATTATTATCATTATTATTTCATTTGAAAAGGGAAATAAAGATTCTGCCACTTTCACACACTTGTACGATAGCACGTGGTGGCAATGCCACGGATAATATCTAATCTACTACAGGGTCTGGTTACGCAGTGTAGTACGTATAGTGACGAAACTGACATAATAGGCTGTTTGCTCAACCTTTTTTGCTCACCATATGCTGCCGCTCAAAAACTTACGCAGTTTTTTTTTTTTTAAGGGGGCAGACTGGTCTTTGAAACCAAAAAGTGACAAAAAAAATCATTTTTTTAAAATAAACATATTTGGTTTCTGAAAATACTTTTCTATCTCTCTGCAAATGTTCGCACACCAGGAAGTAGTACTTCTTTTGTAATGTCATTATAACTGTCCAGATTCTTGGTGCTGCTAACATGCACAACCTGCAAAAAAAATGGGGAACGGACTTTGAGGCTTCTTTATCATTGGCCGGCACCTGTGTTAGAAGCTCTGCTATGAATTTATAAGCACCTTTATGTGGATTGCAAAACATGTGCACCATGGTTGTTGCTTTTTGAAGAAGCTGTGTGTTTTCAGTTTTTTCCATCTTCCTCAAAAAAGTAAATTTACAACTGTTCAATTTTGAGGCCTCATTATCTCTGCAGCTAGGGCAGGTACAACAATATTTTTTTTGCAATGGAAACCTGTATGTGTATAGAATGCAAGTACGAAGGCTGAATTGAGAGCACAAGCCTTCTTAATTAATTACTCATCAAAATTGTAATACAATTCCAACAGCTTTTGAAAATGGATAGTTCGTTTTACTGTACCATAACCAATAAAGACCTAAAATCAAAAAACTCTTGCGTACTTTCACTCTATAGTCATTAGTCTATGTTGGCTTATCTTAAATATCACTTCTTTGAGCACTTTTTTTTTCTATGGTGGCCTTAAACAAACTGGGGGGTGAACTTAAGTTATCTTAAGAACAAGACGAGTTACAGAAAAACTAATTAAATATGTGAAATCAGCAGAAAAAACTGCATAACTCTGTGCAGTTTGATCAAGATCATTGAAGAAATACAGTAGAATCTCGATAATACGATCACGGCTGATACGAAATTCGGGGTGATACGAATTTTTCTGTGTTTCCGGCCGAGGCCCATTAATTTACTATGTGCTAGAGTACGGTTGTTACGAACTGATTTTTTACCAGAGTTGTTTGATACGAATAAACGCCACCCCACCCACGGCCGCGGAAGCAAGTAGCGTGCACGCACGCACTGAAATGCGTGCTGCGGCGCTGGTTTGGCACGTTGTCAGTGCCGCCTGCGAGTGGCGGGCGACAGACTCGAATATCTGCGCGATCTCGAACACTGGAGCAACAACCTAGTTCTAGAAACGTTGCGCCGGAGTGCGCCTTTTGCTTTCTCTCGAAGGCTCCAGATGGCGCTGGCGACGGTGAAGACACAAATCCAATCCAATCTTTGTTTTGCTTGGTGGTGGTTGCTCTCTGGTGCCGACACGTGGTTACTGCAGTGCGGAGGCTGTCGACAGTCTTGCCGAGTCGAGCACACGTATTTGCTCTGTTGTGCCTTTTTGCAGAGTCGTAGCAAGCCATGTCTTGCAAGCGGAAGGCTCTCTCCTTTAAGGAGAAACTGGACATTCTTCAAAAGGTCGATGATGATCCGAAAAGAAAACGCACGGAGTTGGCTAAGGAGCTAGGCCTCGCTACGTCGACATTGAGCACAATTGTTGGACAGCGGGACACAATAATGAAAAATGTGCTTTCGTTCAGAGTCAACGTGAAGCAAGCGAAGACATCGCAACACGTGAAACTTGAAGAATCTTTATTGATCTGGTTTAAGGAAGTTCCTGCAGCCGGTGTAAACATGACGGCAAAGTTTTGCGTGAAAAAGCCGACGGGATCGCCCTTGCTCTGCACATCCGACGGATTCCAGGCCTCGGGTGGGTGGCTGCACCGTTTCAAGACGAGACATGGTCTCGTGTACAAAACCGTCTGCATGGAAGCCAAGAAGGCTGACGAGACCGTTGTTAGCGACTGGCTCGTGAAGCTGGAGTCTCTTATCTCGGGGTATGAGCCTCGTGATGTTTTTAATGCAGATGAGGCAGGCCTGTTTTTTAATCTGCAACCCGAGAAGAGCCTTTGCTTAAAAGGTGAAGTGTACCAAGGAGGAAAAAGAAGCAAAGAAAAAATAACGGTTCTTCTGTGTTGTAACGCCAACGGCGTCGGAAAAACTGAAGTTGACCATAGTTGGAAAATTTCAGAAGCCTTGGTATTTCAAGCGCGAGAGCCATTTGCCATGAGTCTATCGCGCAAACAAAAAAGCGTGGATGACGGCGGCCCTGTGCGAAGAATTTCCGTCTCTCCTTGACAGGAGAATGGCCTGCAAGAATCGGAAGATTGTTCTGATTCTTGACCAGTGCGGCGCCGCCCACCCGAAGCAAGTGACGCTTCAAAACGTCACGCTGGTTTTTTTGCACGCAAACATGACGACGCACTTGCAACCGCTTGACGCTGGCATTATAAAAAACGTCAAGCATCATTTCAAGAGCCTTCTTGTGCGCCGCCTCCTTGCCAAAATCGACAGGAAAGACGAAGGTGGCCTGCGAATAAGCCTTTTGGACGCCATCCATTTTATCTCAATGGCTTGGGATAGAGTAACGCCGACTACCATTGCGAACTGCTTTGGTAAATGCGGCTTCTTTAGGATTCCCGAAGATGTGCCACAGGCCCTTTCAGAGTTGGAGGAGCCCATTGAGGGTTGGGAATGCCTTGATGCCAGGTGTTCGGCTGATGACTTTTGCACGGCGGATAACAATCTTGCCACTTGTGGTGCGCGCACAGTGGATGATATTGTCAACGAGGCCACGTGTGAGGTTGCCGATTCCAGCGACGATGACAAGGAAATGGACGAGTGCGACGGCGAAGGACCACCACCGGCGGATGAAACTCTGCACGCGCTCCACGTCCTGAGGCGTGCTATGGCTTAAGAAGGAATCAGTGATGACACGTGCACGCGTTTTTACGGATTTCAGAAAAGTCTGCTGAGTGACTTGGAAAAAAAAAGCAGCAGGAAGACATCAGAGATTTTTTCTCAAAGAAATAAATTTTTTTTGAGTGTCGAAAATGAGTGTCGAAAATTGCCTCCGACTGTGTTAATTTAGCTAGTTTTGTGTGTGTTCCGATGATACAAATTTCGGCTAATATGAATACATTTTGTGAACCCGCGAGATTCGTATCATCGAGATTCTACTGTAAACAAAAAATTTCTAAGAGCAGTCTGCCCCCTTAAATGAGGTACGGTTGTGGAGAGCCAAATTGTCAACTGGCTAGTTGCGGGCAGTGCTTCGCCTACTCTGCTTACACCACGACTGCCGATCCACTTTCTGTAGAACACACTCACTGCTTCAGAACATGCACAGACACGGTGACTCTCCTGTTGGAATATAGCAGCGATGACAAGCTTTCTGCAAGCAACACCCACTCGGCGATAGTCTAGCA